CCCCCCCCCCACCTGTTCCAATTCACAGACCTGCTCCCAGCACTGTTCTGGACACAGACAGACACAGACATGCCTCACGTTATGTCCAAGGGCCTTGCCCAGCCTCCACGGTGGGACTTAGTTTGAGCACTTGAGGTGTTTTTCTGTGAGCAGTGGAATTCCATGTAATTTCAAGTAAAAAGATATAAATTAAGGTACTTTATAATACATTTTATGGCAACTATGTGATTTTATTTTCTTGCAGAGATGACACTTTTGCAGTAATTTTACATCACTGCTAAAGCTCACCTCATTTCTGGTGCTGGATACCCCAGTTCAGATGGACAGTGTCTGGGCAATTCTCATGCTTGAGCCCGGTTTAACAGGTCAAGTGACATCCTGGATTTTACAAGTTAATGATTTAATTGGACTGCCAGAGGACCTGAGTGTACCAGGGGATATAGAGGCTGTTGAACAAGTTTCTTCCTGCTATCCTTGTGGTGAGGCATAAACTCCTCACTGGTTCCTGAGAACCTTCCAGACAACCAGACTGTTACTGCACAGCAAGGTAAGCAAACCAGCCCTGGAGGAGATGCAAGGATTCTGTCACTAGATGATTTATAGTCACTGTAACAGAATGGAAACTTACATTATTGTGGCTGCTATCATTTGTACAGAGTACCACAAATCAAATATGCCATTTTTATTTTATCTGTTTTTAATTTTATATAGTGGCAATAGAGCATAAAATACAAAACTTAAAACCAACGTCAACTTTCACAAAGGTGTTTTAAAGGCACTTAAAAGACCTGAAGGATTGAATGACCAATCAGTAGCACTGATGGCAGAGCACTTTGGAAGGAAGTTATGTTGTGTACATATTAACACCATTTCAAGTACCACACCAGAAAACAAAGATCCTCTGTGTACAACCTACATTCCAGTTATAAGCAGCAAAGCTTCCTCATCTTCAGTAGCCTTGTCAGAGCCATTCAGCTGTCCTTATTAAAGAATTGCTGCTTTTATGTTTTCCTAGGAAAGAGAAGCTCCCAGAGAGGCAGTTGTACTTGTCCCAGTAGCCAGGATCACCTTAGAGCACCAAAAATACCCAGGCTCAGCTTTTTCAATGCTCATCCATGGTCAGAGCAAACCATGGCTTTGTTTCAGTGTGCACCTCAATGGCAGCTCTTGGTTCCTAACAGCTATTTTCACCCTGACTTGTACTTTCAGCTTGAGCCTTTCTACACCTGTGACTGGAGACATGAGCTCAGGTGGTTGGTACAGGTGTGGCAGGAAATGGCTGCTGCATCAAGGCCCCAGAAGGGCTTATCCCATCTCTTCCCAGCAAACGGGGCCATGAAGGCTCGTGCAAGCCCCATCTGCCAGAAAGCCAGGGAGCCAAGTTGGGGAGGTGTCCGTGAGCACCTCCTAGAGCAGCAGAGATGAGCTGCTTTTGGCAACTTGCACCCCACAGTACTTTATACCATTGTTTTCTTATCTATACCACTTTTTGCTAATTAACACATACTTTAATCTGCTTCCATCCGACTATTTCAAATTCCCTTGACTACCTATTGACAGAGGCTCCCACAGCATGATTTTACTCTTTATAATGGCCACAGGACGATGCAAGCAGGTTTTACTCTTACCCTTGCAAGCTCAGGAGAAACAAACAAAAAGCCCTGCACAAAAATATACTACCATGTAAAATTTAGGTGACCTCTGCAGCAGGTTCAGGTTTTCACTTTGTTTCGGTAAGAAGCAGAGTGCCTCCAGTTTTTCTTTGGGCTAAAAATTTGCTACAGTTAAGTTTAAAAGAAAGACTTCAACATGAAGATTTCAGTATCAAATTACACACTGTAGTGCAAATTATAGGTAGAGCTCACGTAAAACTGGTATTAACTTAAGGGTGTATCACCGTCATTAATAACATGTACACAAATGTTTAAGTTGGTCAGTTATGCACAAAAAATGTTGTATATATAACTTAGTGTTAAAAAACCAAACCCATCACATAAATCTGAGTGGAAAGCCAGGCTGGGATATAAAATTAATACCTGAGTATAATGGTCCAATTTATTCCCCCTGATAAATCACATACATACAAACATGTTTAGTGCCTCATTTCTACATTTCACATTAGGTCTTTCTGTGCTGTAAGAAAGAGACCGCTCAGTACTAGTGCTATTTGCAACATAAAATATTTTATACAAAGCAGCTTAACAGTCTTTTGCAGAATAATCTTTAACACTAAGATTTTTCAATTAAAGTCTTCATTTTTCCTGTAGACTTCAGCATGTGTGGTCCAAACTGGAAAGAAAACCAGAAACATGTTCAGATTGCTTTCAACAGAACCCTTGTTGAACTACTATCTATCCAAGTAGTAAAAGCAGAACTTGGGCAGAAATAATTTCCTTTATCACCCTGCTTCTCTGCATGTGGATGTCACAAAGTGAAGGAAAACTTGGCGTTAGCAACAACTGAAATTGCTCAGAGGAGGGAGCCAACGACCTGCTGGAGCAGGGCTGGAGGCAGTTTGGTCTACGACAGTAAAATAAGGAGATAGACACAGTTAATGTTACACCGTGACAACCAACTTCTCTAGAACCGGTTAACAGTGCTTCTGGGTCTTACTCTACCCTGCATTTCTGTACAAGTCCTTTTCAAAACTGTCATAGAAAGACACCATACAAGTCTGATCTAACGAAGTTAGATACTGGTAAGAAACTGATGGACAGGTTTTATTAGCTTATTATGGATCAACATTCTATCATTTAATGAAAACCTTAAATTTTCTTAGCTCCTGAAGATTTGATGATCCTTTACCTCAAAAGGGGGACTGAATTTCAAAACTAGAAAATAAGGAAAAAACCCTGTGTGAGTAAACACTGCCAACTCATGTTCTTCTTAATGCATGAGAGATGCTGAGGAGATGTGATTAATTCTTGGGAAATATCTAGCCTCTTAGTTGAGAAGAACAGCTTGAACATTACAGAAATAAAACAGTAGAGGCCAAAAGGCAAGTAAGTCAACATTAATTAGCTGAAGTACTCAGAAGTCCTGAGATTTGTGGCATGTGGGAATGTTATTTTCCTTAAAACTTAATTCAGAGCAGAGCCAGCTTTTGGACTTTTATGTGCATTTTTTTTGATTGCACAAATGAAGAAAAATCCCTCTTTACTCTTCCTCTCCGTTTCCATAGCACAAGGCTTCAAGGATTACTGACAAACAAAACTGATCTATACCAGGCTGTTTTTTAAGTGTACATTGATAGAGATTTGTATTTTGAATGTTCACTGCTTAAAAACCAACCATCTGAAATTAACTAGAAGCCATTAATAACTTGTGCCAGGAGGTAGACTTTAAATATAATTTAATTTTAACATTCTCACACTGTAAAGAAACTATTTTCACATACTCAGCATTTCCAATTATTAGAATAAACTCCCTATACCAAGGAACCACGATCCAGCAGGAATTCTGAACAATTTGTTTTCCAAATTCCTAGGAATGTCTGACATGTTTCAGGATCTTGCTTCAAAGTTTCACCTACATCAGCTGAATGGTTAAGGTTGGTAGTACCAGACAAACTCCATTCAGACTGGAATTGATGGGAGCCCTTAGCAATGGTTTTCTGAATATCAGATGCTTGTGGCAACAGAAAACATTTTTGTTTTAAAAAAATAACAAAATTGTAACAGGACTTTTTAAAGGTTGGGCCAAGACAGTGCACAAAGCTAAGATTGCCACTAAAAATATATGATTGCCAAAAGTCCTGGCACATCAGTAGCGCTTCACAGGATTTTGGGGACAGAGATGCTGACTTGTGTAACATCTACATATGTTAGCAGAAAGACGTAAGTAGGTTTGCACAACTAGAATTTAGTCCAAGGATGTGTTCAGAATTACAGTACTCACCAGCACCTCAGTCTGTGTCTTTGTTTCAGCCTTTGGAATCACTTTTTCTGTTTCTTGGCTATCATTTCGGTATCGATAAGCAAATTTCTTTTTGAGAGCTTCTGCTATTAATGATGCAGGATCTGCAGGCTGAGACACTTTAGATTTTGTACCTTCTAAGGGTCTAGAAAAGAAAATGGCATCAGCATCTGTCTCACCCTGAAATAGTTTTGAGTCATAGAAACAAATCACTAACGCCAATCTTGGTACACTGACATTTATTACCTTTTTACCGAGCGCAGTTTCACGCTGTTCATGTCTTTGAGGATTTCTAGCATGTTTGGTACTTCAGGCTTCTTTGGGCCGTTTTCCACCACATTCTGGCCAGCGTTCATTTTTTTGTTTTTCCTCTCTTTAATGAGATCAATTGCAGACTTACTCTGATCCAGACCTGAGGGAGGGGGTGGAGGCAGAGGAGGAGGAGGTGGTGGCGGCGGTGGTGGCGGAACAGGGACAGCAGCTGAAGCAAGTGGACTTGACCCAACTACAAATAAAACATGCATTACAAGTCAGTTTACTTTCCCCTTCACATGTCACAAATACTCAGGTGAGAAAATCACTGTAGTAACTTCAACTGCATCGCCTCTGCCACCTTTAGATTGTCACGTAACTTCTTCATTCCTAAACCACCTATGCAGACTCAGCTAAAAAGCCACATGAAGATCCTTCTTGAAAAGTTAAGGCGCATCCTTTGAAATTCCAGTCCTAATTCCAGGTGCATTTGTGTCTTTACTACAGTGGGACCGACACCACACATCTTTTAGTTATTCTCTGCCATAATGTTACCGGTATTTCCCTTTCTTCTCAGAGGCTGCTACTGAACTAGAAGTCACAATCTACCACAGGAGCAGCGAATCTTCCAACCTATCATCACAAATAAGGAATTACTGTACAAGATTTTTAAATGTAAATTTCAGAGCTCAAACAGTGCTTAAATTAAAGCTTATTCCAGCTGTCTGAGGCTGAGGATTTTTAGGCCAGTTACTTATCTGTCTCTGCTCATAGAGAATCTCACAATAACCTTGATTTTGAGTTCCATGTATACTTTAGGTAAAAATAGTTGTTATAAATGTATTCTCAGTAATAACCTGACAAACAAATGAAGAAACCTGTGTTTAATTGCACCTTTAAAAAACAAAGAGAAAAATCAGATCAAACCAGAGTTTTGAGGCTTGGAGTATAAAGTCTGTAAAGATATTTATAGGGATAAAACAGTAGAGTCTACTCCGTGTACCTGAAGGCAAACACACAGCGTCATTACCATGTTCTACCAGAAGAGGGAGGTAAAGATGGTAAAATAAAATTTATTTTCCCTAATAAATACAGGTAAAGGGAAAAAAATCAAAGTAAGTTTATAGTTATTTCATATGTCCCCACCTTCCCACCCACTAATTAAAATTCCAGTGATACCAGGTGATCCTTAAAACTATTTCACAGTTTTGAATATGAGCAGTTCAGGAAAAACAAAGTAACTGCTATCAGTTAACAGCTAAAGGAGCATCTGAAAAATCAGAATATGATTTTATACACAAACATAGACAAAGCTGTACTTGTTAAGTGACCTTAGGAAAGAGTGACAACCAAATACTTGTCATCTGCAGCCGACAAGGGCCACCTCCTGCTAATCTTTGAAGACTTAAAACTGAAAGGAGTCAGAGGTGGTGGAAAGAGGAGAAAGAAATTCAGGAAAAGAATTATTCTGTTTGCTACCAGAAACAGTGCACCACTTTTGGTTCCATATGGACAATGTGTCTGGTCCCAGAGATGATTGCAGTAAACAATTAATTGCCTTTTCTGTTACTTGAGATGTATATTACATATTCCAAAAGCATAATTAGCATCTTGTATGAATACTTAATGATATCAGAGAGCCTATTTCCTTACTGAAGGGAAAGACTTCAGTGTCAGTAATTAAGTTACATTCTTTTAGTTTGGTTTAAGCCATCATGTTTATCATGAGCTTTGCTCTGAAAGCTGTTTAATACTTCTTTACTCATTCACAGATTCAGAACTCTGGCAGATTTACAGACAAACATGAAGACTTCAGGAATACTAAAAAATACAGAAAATCTGGCAAGTCACTTGTCTTCAAGACCTATTCTGTACCCCTTGGTTATTGTGCCAAACTAACCAAAACAATATGGAGAAGTGCATGGTGCTGCAGTAACTCACAAAAAAGAATTAGCACAATATTAATTACAAAAGGAACACATTCAGTAAGTAATTTTTGCTAAGCAAATTTAATACCTGTTGTCAAGTTCTGCTGTTCTTGCAAGGTTACAATTTTGGCTATTTGTGCTCTTAAAGAGGCCAGTTCATTTTCTAGGGCGCTGATCTTCTGTAGTGCTTCTTCGTTTGCCATCACCGCACTCCTGGGCACTGGTTCCTCTCCTGACGGGCTTTGCAAGGACGTTTGTCTGTGTGGGGACTTCCTGGAAGGATGTGCTTCGCCTGGAAGAGGCTGGGTTGTTTTTGACCAAACTTCTGATCTGTAACAAAAATATCATAACGTATTTTAAAGGCTTTGAAATAGACAAAAACTAAACCAATGCTACCTACAAATCAGGGGTACAAGTTGAAAACCTGACTTCAGAATTGTTTCTATAAAAATCACTTCCATGAAGACCTTATAAATAGTTTAAGGTAAATAAGAGCTTCACATCCTTTCTAATTTGCATCACGAGCTGTGCTCCTTCTCTTCCCCCAGACAGCGTTTTGTACAATCCTTGGTTTCCGCAAAAAAAAGAAATACACTTCCCCTTATCCTAATCTATTTCTCTGCCTCAAACCTATTGTATATTTTATTTGAATTAAGATTATCTTCCCTTAAATGTTATTTTTCCCCATGGGCAGCAAATAGCCATTTGCAGTTGATTCCTTTGAAGAAGGAAGAGTTTCTTAGTTCCCACAGGGTATTTTTTTGTAGTATTTGGATTTCTGAATTTTTAATTTTTTTTTAATTTTTCAATTTCAGCAGCAGTGGGAAATATGGAATACATAAAACAGCTTAGTGACACAGAGACTGCTTGTCAGTTGATGGGAAAGGGTCTCATACCTAGTTTTCTAACACAGTATTTAGAACTAGAGAGAAGAAAATTTCATGAAGTTTTCAAGAGTCTGTGACCTTCCCTCTGCTTCTCACAAGAAAATGCAGCTATGTCGCCTTCCCATAATACCCACCAAAGCTCAAGCCATGTTAAACTGAGGCATTACTGAGCATCTGCTCAAACAAGTCCAATAAGCCCTTATAAGGACACCAGCATTTTTAAACCATTTATCTCAAGAATCTGAGGAACATGATCAAGTTAAAGATGTCCCTGCTCATTGCAGGGGGTTTGGATTAGGTGGCTTTTAAAAGTTCCTTCCAATGCAAGCTGTTCTATGATTCTGTAAGTAGAATTGATAAGGACTGATGGATTGATAAGGATTGATGAACAAATTATCATAAACTTTAAAACACAAAATGTGGCCACATACTTAATACCTCAATTCTCCATAATGTCGATCCCCAAACTTCTCAGGAATGCCAGGATTCCATGGTTTATTTAAAGAGGAGAGTGAGAACAGGGGCTCAGAAAAGCACTTTTTGAAATGGGTAGAATGGTTCCAGGCTAACTCAGCCCAAGTGCCCCATCACTCTGGATTTGTGGATGAAGCTACTGTGGGTGCTCATCATGTTAGATCTGCAGTTGTGCTAGACCCAAAGCAAGAGCCAAGATTTAAGAACAAGCCCTGTGCTCTGACCACATCAAACCAGATTAGATACACATTTAAGTCTTCTATGACACTGACAAAAACCATCAGCACAGCTTGCAGAACTTGCAGAAATTTGATCAAGGAGAATTGAATATTATCATGGATAATGAAATTTAGGTGTTGTTACCTAGACAGGAATAGAGAGCAACTAAAGCAGAGAACAGGATACCTCCTATAGCAGCCACCTCCCTGCTCTCCCCAGGTAAGGTCTAAGGACACAGTGGTCTCTTCACTCCTTAAAACCTGCCTTCCAGAAACTCTTTGAAGGAGCAGAATAGCTAAATAACAAAAGGTATTTTCTGCTCAGAGCAGTAAAAGAGTTTTAAGGAGATGTCTTGATTGGAATCTAACACTATGGGAAAATATTATGCCGGAGTTGTCACTACTGCTCTGACTAGGGGTAAAGGAAAAATAATTTGTCATTTAGTTGCTTCCTCTATAAAACTGTATTCACAGGAAAAAAAAACTATGTCTGCAAGGCTGTTTACTAAATTTTACAGTGGATAAATATTTAACAGTAACACCTATGTGATCCTGTCGAAACAGAGAATTTCAAATGCCTGGAAAACACCTAATGCATACCAGCTCCACTACTAATACTGTGCACAGACGTAATAAACAGTGCACACTGAAATACTCATATTTGCTAAGTAATTCACTTCCCGTGCTCCATCATAAGCTGTTTGCCTTAAGGTCACTATGTATCTGCAGGATTATTTTAGTCCCATCCCACATCCATCTGTCCCTGCTCCCCCCTTCCCATGCAGACATTTCAGCAAATATGCAGTCCTACATCTTCTGTAATAGGTTCTTTGAAGCACCAAGGAGCCATTCTCCCTGTTGTCTCCATTAAATGTAATAGCTTTACAAGTTCAATCCTTAAACAAAATACTTCTGCGCAAACAAAAGTAGTATTGGACAGTTAATTTCCTTTGTATTAAACAGACTTCAGGAATAGTGTTTCCCAAGCAAGTGCTGATTTCTGTGACTCCCCTCTGAGTTTGTGAAATTAATGTGGCAGTGCCAGAATGTTTGTTACGCAAAGCTTCACTGTAGCAAGTCATGTTGTAGGGCATCTAGGTCATTACTAACCTATTTTATGCTTTCAAATTAAGAACAGTATCCTCCTGTAATCTCTGAAGCCAACAATCTGTGCCCCTCTCTGACAGATGAGTTTGTTTAGAAGAAAAACCTCCTCTGCACAACAAAACTGTACTTTTATTTCTGGACAGTCTGAGCAGCGACCTGAATAGAATGGAATAGAGAACTTCATCCCTTCAGCCAGACTGTTTCATGTAGTGACAGTGCTGTGTAGAACCCTTGGTCCAACACAGCAGTACCTATCCCATCATTCTGGACACAGGTGCTCACATGCTTCCCCTGCCAGGTTTTGTTATGAAGATTAAAGGTGTGAAACACAAACCACAAATTTTTCATGTACTTAGCAGACTGCGGAGCCTTAACCAGAAAGGTGAAAAACAACGTGCCAATTACTGGATTGCCAGAACGACCATTGCTGCTAATGAGGAAGCTGTACAGTTCACTGCCCCATGGTAATGACAATCTCAGGAGAACTGGAGAATCACTGCTAGCAATTGTGCCATAGCACAGCAGGCACTTTCATTGCTTGAAGCTATTGTGTGCACTTCTTTGTAATACATAAATAAAATCCAGAGTCTTCCCTGTATAATGCAAACTTCCTGTACGTTTTCCAACAAGTCTTGGTTTCATAATCTCATTAGTCTAACCTCTACTACTTCTTTTCCAGACCCCTATCTCTGTCTCTTCTCCCAGCATTCAAGTGCTCTCTGTAATTGTAATGCACAGTAGATTGTCACTGGAGAGAAGTGGTTTCTTCTTCTCAGTTTGGAAGTTCAGAGAGAAGATTTCAGAAATATACCTGAGCCTTGTAGAGACTTCACCTTCTTCTTCAGCAATCCATCCCACATCAGCAAAGGAGGCCACAGCATCTTCTCTGAGTTGAGCAGGACTGCTTCCTTCCGTGACATGAGACATAAGCTAAATTTTAAAGGCAAGATTAAAGGTTTTAGAGTCAATACTAACAGCTCAAGTCACATTTATGTTACCCAGTATTTCTACTGAGGCTACATGTAACTATTAACATACACATGCACAAAACACATCTGTAGACTTGAAACACTTATTTCTGTCCTGTGCTCAGTCCAGAACCATTTCACTGACTTCAAACTATTCAATCCATTCTGCTGAACACTCTGCAGAAGTTCATGGCTAGCTACATATACCATCACATCATGCTAATGAACACTAAAAATCCAATGCAAATTGTTACCTTTAAGACAAACAAACAATATTCTCACACAGTTTTCTATACTAACTCAAATACTATGTTTTAAAATTATATTAATGACCAGTAGTTAAAAAAAGACATTAAGGCTGCCAATTCTTCTTAAGTACTTTGCTCTGATTTAGTATTATTTTTAAAGTGAAATTCTGCCAAAGTTTCCCCTTCCCTTCAACCTCCAGATTTCTGTACAGGAAGTATGTACATTGCACAAAGGGAAAAGCAAACAAGCAAAGCAACCCCAAAACCAGGCAAAAAGCCAATTCTACCAGCTCAGTAATCACAAAAACTTTGAGTGAGAGGTAGGATGCAATCGTAACATTATATATTACGTGCCATTACAACATGCCAAACAAAGGGACCATTTTCCAGCATGGCCATTAACTTTACAGCTGTTTGAAACCAAAGGTGAGCAAAGCTTCAGAGACTGGAACCCTTCTTCAATTTCCAGTTAAGACCTGAATGGTGATTTGAAAAATTGTTTGGACCATCAATGCTTGCTCCATAGTCACAACTCAACAAAATGGTTTCAAACCTATTTTGAAATACTGGCTGCTTCCTCAGGTCAGATGAGGGCATGTGTTCAGAGTCACTGGACTCCTGAGTAGCCTGGGCCCCATATCTCAGCAGATAAAAGCTACTGAAACAACTTTCAGTAATTTGTTCTGCTCAATCTTTCACCTTGAGTTCTGAATCTCCAATGCCCCAGCTTTTGCTTGTATTCCATAGAAACACAGAATGGTTAAGGTGGGAAAAGCCCTCTAAGATCACTGAGTCCAGCTGTTAACCCAACACTACCAACAAACCCACAGCCAAATCTGCATGAGTTGTTGCAGCTGCTCAAGTGCTGCCTGTGGCCAGCAATACTGACAAAGATGGTGGCAGTAGATGCCAGTCTGTGAGGACAGTCTGCATCCAGCCCATTAGTACTTAGGTCAATTTTCAAGGCAACCCCACTCTGTAAAAGCAAACTACTATGAAATGTTAGCATTAATCTATTAGCATTAATGACTTTGTAGCAGATCTATCACAGTAGGACTGCAGCCTGGATGAGGTGAAACAGTTTCAGAAGAACATCCACATGTATTTTAGTAGTAGCCTCTGATACAGAAGTGTCAGGAAGAGAAAAGTTGTGGGCTTAGGGCTGTTTTTTTCCCCAGGAGTTGTTGCAAACAGCCTTAGAAATTGAGATTAGTTGCCTCCACCTCACACTCTCACTTGTATGAGAGTCTTTATCACAGCTCCCAGGAGTGTGTATTGGCACCATCAGATCATTTGGAAACAACAGGGTTTTTTCCAGGTAGCATCAGCACAGATGGTAATATGTTTATCACATTAACAGTTGTGCCTAATACCATTACAGTCTGCCTCTCTTTAAAGCAGTCTAGAGAATACTATATTGCATGCTAGGATTTTTCCTGTTTGAGGTTTCCTTGGCATTTTTCTTTTAAAAAATGAATAGAAATTTTTAAGACCACAGCATTTGTTTTAATGTTAATGGCAATTTAAAATAATCTGTAATACATTAGCCACTTCTTACAGGTGATACAGATTTTTCTGGCATCAATATTACCATCAAAAGATTGAAACCTTTTAAATAAAGGCACTACACATACTTGAATCAAAAATAATTTTCCAAATCAACAGTAAGGAATATATTTACCACTGCCAAAATTCCTGCATTATGAGATAAATAACTTCTAATCCAAGATTTAGTAGTAAGCCTTCTGTTATATTGTGATAAAAGTTTCTTCTTAATTTTAATTCATATTTATATGTAAACAGAATCTGCTTGTTACCCCATATACAGATGTTTCTTTTCTCCATCCCTAAAAACAACAAAGCCTTCCTCAGCAGTGGAATTTGGATTTCAAGTCAATGCAAGATTTTTACTTTAATTTAAAGATGAAAAGCCAATACCCATCTCTCAAAACCTTAACTTGCCTGTAAACACCTCTGTCACTACCCTATTCCTCCAATCAATCCCAGCTGAAGAAAACCTGAACAACTGCTCTGCCAGCACCTAAAATAGAGAACAGGGAACAGAGGCCCAGTTCTACTGGATGGCAGGAACCAAATGAATCAGTGCCATAGCCTGCTTTTCTTTCTCTGGAAACTGTGAAGTTGCTTCTCCCCACTTCCTCCTTCACAGGCTTTTTGCCTTAGCGTGCATGTATGCTGCACACACAGACATGCCTGAGGGCTGCAGACCCATCACAGATTTCTGAAGACTACACACACTGTACTGCTCTGGCACCTCGAGTTGGAAGGGACACATAAAGAACCACAAAGTGCAACTCCCAAAGAAAGAAAGAGTCAGCCTCGCCAGTGTTTCCGCCCGGTTTCGAACCGGGGCCTTTCGCGTGTTAGGCGAACGTGATAACCACTACACTACGGAAACGCCGCTCAGCAGGGAGCAGGGAAGGTTCCCTGCTCTTTTGTTTGCTCCAGGAAGTGCAAAGCAGCAGAGATATTTTTATACACTTGAGGACAGAATAAAAACCTCTTGTTTCAAAATACTAATACAGTTATATGTTAAAATTTGAAAGACTTGAAGTAAGACAAATTTGCTGTGATTTTTCAAATTAGCCCAGTAAATTCAGATGTTTGTTACATGCACACCAATTTATTAGGAGACTTCCACTGAGTGATCACGTATCCATCAGACAGGAGAAGCATGGGACTAAAACAGAGATGCTGCAGCTGAAGGATGCTATCTTGAGAGATACTACTCTAGGTTTGGTTGAACCTACCTAGGCTATACTTGTAAGTTTAATTTTATTTTCTCCTAAAGACTACATATAAATCTAAAAAATATGACACACAAAAGATCTATATGAACTATTTTCATTTGTTCATGCTATATAGAGTACATAAGGTACATAAGCTTTGCCACCTCTTACTGAATATGTAAGCAGCATTTAGCAGTATTTAGTATTTAGCAGTTAATTTAAATGTTGACTATGACAAGATACACAGTCAGTAGACCTCAAAAATCAAAATGTTTGGCTACTATTATTTTTTCAGACTAGCTGAACAAAAACATGCTAGAAGGTAAGTATGAACATTACAGAGAGATTCTTTCAATGAGTCTCATCCATTTATCATAAGAAAAACACGGACCTGTGGAAAGTCTGCTGCTCTGGGGTTAGAAACACTGATTACATACATGCACCCTCAGATGATGCAAGTAAGATTTGATCTGTTTTTTTAAATAGAGTGACTTACAGCAAGGTTCAGTTCATGGTCCTTTCATAACAGAGCTAAAGCTGGCAAGAAAGAAAGAGGAAGAGACAGCTATAGGAAAGCATCAGTTGCAACAGCACGAAAACGATCGAGATCAGTATTGAACTTCACTACAGAATCTTAATGCTGAGATAAAGACACAAAAAACAGATGTTAGCATCACACTTAACATGTTCAGCAATTTATATATTAAAATAGTTTAGAGTCTGCACAAACCATACAAATTTTAATGTGTTTCAAGGCTCAAGTTTTGAAATTCCTATTTCTAATTAAATCAACTCTCACAACTGTACTTCTGTTTTCAGGATCCTTTCCTTTCATCTCATGGAAGGTGAATGCTTATTTAGTGTACACACAAAGCTGAAAGAATGTCTCTTTAAGGGTACCAAGAGGCAAATATTATATTTATTTTAACAGAATCACTACCAAAACATATTTATGTATTTATTTGCTTAAACACTAAAAATAATCAGGAACAGATTCCTCAGATATATCTTACCATTCCTTGCAAGAACATGAACCAAAAATGTCTTATTTTATGTACCGTATTAAGAAAACTCAGTATTATACTATCTGCAAACAAGCATCATCCTCCCTTGTATGGCCTTTACAGTACAGAAAATCGGACACACAGAACTTCACTACCTTTTAAATCTGAGGCACAGGGAGCCTTCTTGCTGGCAAAACACCTACTAATTACATATCCGAAAGTTTAATCCAGCATGCAATTTGTTGTCCTTACCTGCACAAAACCCCACATCCCTTTATTTATTTTTTTCAGCAAGCCACTAAAAATGAGAGATGGTTGCCCCCAGCTTTCTCAGTGTAATTTTTTAAGAGAGGCAAAATGTTAGCATGGCTTTTACTATCACACCAATAAGGCTTCTATGGTAATCTGAACTATCTGGTTTTGCTATTGTAATTTCAAGTCTAAATATTGTTCATACATTTAATTTATGATAAAGAAATTAATTTAAACATTGAAAAATTTAGCAGTGTGGAAATTATTTTATCTTAGTGTGGCAGCTGATTTCTTCCATTCATCTTTACACTCCCCACCCTGGCTCAGCCCACGAAACATTCCTCTCTCTGCTTGAATTTCAAACACTAAATTTCTCCAATTCTATATCCACCCCCTACCCCTAACACCAGAGTTGAAGAGATTATGTGTAACAGCTTCCACTTTCCCATCTGTTCCTGAAAGACTCATTATAGGAATCATGGGTTTTCTCTTTCTTAAGCTTTTGCACTTGCTCTTTACCCTACCCTTTCACCTACACAGTGCTAGCCTTGTATTTGACACAAAAGCAAACAAGGTACTCATGTTACCTTGTTACCAGTTTTTTGATTTCTGATAAAGTTGTTTATTTTCCCAAGTATTTTTAATACTGTTCATTTTCACATGCCTCTTAAACCTAGCTTATAAATACTGTTTATATAAATAAGTTTCATTTTTCTCTTTTACAATTTTTTTTTCCAACTTATTTGGAAAAAATCTGAAACGGAAGCAGAGAGAACTTAAGTAGGCTAATTCTCCTATGTCTAGTTTATCATACTCTACTTTGACAAACCTTCTAGCCATGAGAAAATCCCTTTATCAGTACAGCCAAACACAAATTCTAAGCTGTTGAGAACACCTACCTGAAAGCGAACTCTTGGACACTGTATAAGAGAGAGGTTAGTACCAATTTTTCTTACAATACTCCGAGATGAACCATAAGGCTTTCTTGACCAAAGCATCTGCATGGGAAAAAATAAAGAAGCCAGCAGTTAAGAGAACTGATTTTTGTATCATATTGTAATAGTTTTCCCTTATTCTTCCATACCATGCTTTTGCTAGATGTATTTAGTAATTCCTTTCATGCTAGAGTAGGATATAACATTTATACACTGAATTCTGTCCCAGTGAACACCTACAGTACAGCTAGGGCTGCTTAAGGTCAAGACAGCCTTTGTATTAAGTCTAAAGACATAACAAGACATCAGGTAATGCAGAAGACTTCAGGAGCTGAAAGTATCTTCATAAACATAATATTCGAAGTTTCAAGACAATAAAGAACGTAGATTTAGTCAGACACCTCTTTTTATAGGGTTTCAAGAAAAGCCACTCAATCATTAAAAATCCATAAAATCACATAATTCTTCATTTCTTAAAACAACTTTTTTTTTTTAAATTAAGACCTCTTGTAAAACAGGAATAGTATTTACTATTCTTAATGGAAGTAAGTGTCAGCTACAATAAATATGAAAATGTAACTGTGAAATTGAAGAGCAAAGGAAAGTAAAAAGGAGAAAATATATTGAACTTTTTGTAGGAAAGGAACTTTGTCCCCTGCCCAAAAAAAAATAGATTCAACTAGAGAAAACTGCCCATAGCAGCTCAACATACCAGGCTTCATTATAACTGTTTCTACTACAATTTACATTTCCACTATGGTGTTTCAACAGGGATTAAATTTGCTTCTTTTTGTTATATTTAGAATTTATGACAGGAAGCAAAATGGGAGTTTAATCCTAGGAGAATACTACAAAACGAGCTGGAACAGAAGGAAACGCCCCAGAGAGAAGTAGGAAAGACTTCAGCACAGGCAAAGGCAACAAAATGGCAATGCAAACAAGAAAAAGAGTAATGAGAAGACTCTAATACAGAGTACACTGTTAGTGAACAATTAGAACACTGTATGGTAATTTTAAAAACTTGGCCAGTGTTTAATTATGGCTGTAAATAAGAATTTACTAGCCAGAGCTTAGTTTTTAAGAGATCACAGCTTCATGCAAACTTGACATCCTGGTAGAAGGTTGCCCAACAAAGAAAACAGGAAAAATCCAGGCTATTCTGGATTGGCAATGGCAATATTGCCTGTATGATAACTGTAGTGGTGCTGTGGGAGTGCATAACATATGGGTGGCTATTTTGATATACGAAGCAAAGATCACTACTCATAGATGTTGAAGTTTCTATTAAAAAGGAAAGTTTATGTTCCATGGTATTAATCCCCAGATCATTTCACAAACTTCACACAAACATTTTGCCTATTTCTAATTTCTATCGTTCCTTCCTCTGGCTTTACTAAAATGTAAAAATTTTGACTAAATAAATGTGCACTGCACATATGTTATGCTACATCCTCACAACAGAGCTGCAACTTTGCCATGAATCCACACAGATCTATTTTTTTTCCATTCTATAAAAAATACACTCTCTTGCTTAGTACACTGCTAAGCTGTACAAATTTTTCAAAGCAGAGTAGTCTTTTGATGCTGCACTTTGGTTGCCTCAACAAAGACCTCAGATTTGTGCCTATCACTTTACTGTTTGTTTACATGTCTGAACAAACAGCAGGTAGATCAGTGGCTTTCAAAAACAAGTCACCAACAAATAGCATCACAGTAATAGTCTCATTATTCACAACTGATTCTGATTAAAGCAGAACTGTTGGCAAGAGACTCAAAGTGATGGGGCATTGGAACAAATAATGCCAGTCAAAGGAAGGTTTAATTAGTTGCAGAAGTACTTCCACAACAGCAAGAGAGTCTAGACTACATGCTCTATTGCCAACACAAATGTAATGCATTTTAAATGAGCAGCAAAACTTGTTTAGATATTGCTCAGACCACAGACAAGTTTCTGACTAGCACTCAAAAATATCTGGTTTCCAAATGCCCTTGGGGCTCTTCAACAACAATGGCTTGGTGCACCAAAATGCTGAATGACTCAGTTTTGGTAATACACGATATGCCAGGACATTATTTTCAGAAAACTGCATGCAAACTGTGCCACAAGGGATGCAAGTAAAGTCAGTTCCCTGCTCAGCTGAGCTGAGGTCTCAGCACTGCTCTAACCAAGTTCACACAACTTCTTGTTGACTTGAAGCACTGGCTGAGCAAGTCTACAAAATGCTACTTAGTCATACACCCCTATTGCATCAGTGTTTTGCTGTTGTCCAGAACAGCTGAAATTTGTAACATAACTGTTATCTCAAGCTTGATGTAAGTAGAGAATAAGAAGAAACAGATTAAAAAACTGTTCCTCTCCCTATTTAGACTGAAAATGCTGAATTACCAGCGTCATAATGCAACATATTCTTAAACTTTGAGTTTTCAGTTACACAGAATCTCAGATCAAAATTCAAATAAAATACTAGAATACAGATTCTTGTAAATTTTAATTTACACTGTATAAACAATTTGCTCTCCATAGAGTCCCAAGACTGATAAAAGGTTCTACCATAATAATACTGACTAAATACTGCACATAGCTGTTAAGGATTTCCCCATTTTTAAAACATTAAAAAATTTCAAAAACTTACAGGGATTACTGCACTGAGGTCAATATTTGTACTTAAAATAGCTTCCTAAAGGTACCAGTGACAGAGCAGTTGATCTGTGGCAGCTCTCTGTCTCTCTCTGCTAAGCACTCAAAGAAAACCTTCTATATAGTATCCCCCAAGAGGAGAACTATGCAGGCCTATTCCTCTGCTTACCCAGAAAAGAACACAGCTGTACTGCTCTTATGTACTGTTACACCTCCAGAAGAGGTAACTATAACACAGAAGTGGCAAATGTAGCACATTTATAATCATGTCAGTTTCATGGGGCTTTTTGTATCTCCAAGGTAAGAACAAGAAATAAGATTATTTTTTTATCACTGTTAAAAAATAAGATGAAATTCTCCTTCAGCTTCAAAACACACACGGAAGTCCAGCATGAAAAACAGTGTTTATAAAGTAAACAGTTTATTAGAACCAGAAGCAACTGAATAGTACTTTTAACACATTTATTACTCAGTATTTCAGTGTTCAAGTCATAAACTTGATGACTTTTCAGCAATGCAGAATCATCCCAGTATCGAGTATACCTCAAGTGCTCTTCCAGATAAGCACAAACTAAAAAACACAAAGTGCTTTCTAGACCTTATTTTCTGAAAACATAAAGGAAGTTTGAAACACTTACTGAATCCATGTTCAATCCAATTTGTTCAAAAGCCATCCTAATTAAGCGCTTCAGCCAGCAAATCATCTGGACTGGAAAAGGCCTTTCCGAACTTGGATTTAAGCCTTCCAAACCTACAAGGCTGCCAAGGTTCCATAGTAGTTCTGAAATGAGACACATAAGAGTTTTAGATGCATGTTGTAGAACATGTACAGAACTGCTACATTCCTGAAAAAGCAAGTTTTAGATACAAGACAGATGACACCAAATCCTCATCCTCCAAAGCAAAGGTGTTCAAAAGGCATCTACTTAATACAGGTAACAAAGATGTTTTAGCAGTGTCATTTTTATAGAATCATAGGATTGTTTGAGTTGGAAGGGAGCTTAAAAGTCATCCAGTTCCAACCCTCTTGCCACATGCAGGTACACATTGCACTAGATCAGGTGGCACAGGGTCCCATCCAGCCTGGCCATGAAAATTACAGGAATGGGGTATCCACAATTTTTTTGGGAACCTGTTTCAGTGCATCAGCACCCTCATGGTGGTACGTATCTAATCCAAACCTATCCTCTCTCAGCTTAAAGCAATTGCCCTTTGTTCTATCATAACATGCCCTTGTAAAAAGTTCCTCTCCAGCTCTCTTGTAGACCCCTCCAGGTACTAGAAAGAAATCCAAGCCATTGTAAAGTTAACAATTAAGAAGTTGGGGAAATGATTGCTCACTTGAGCTTGGACAGATGATGGCATTGAACAACTATAAGTGAGTATCAAGCCCTATGGAATGCCTGCAGATGGGGATTAGCGCTGAGATTGAAGTGTCATACTCATATCTAAAACTCATTTCTATGCAGGAACAGACTGCAGAAAGCTGATCACCTCTCTTGATTCACATTCTCTGACAGCTTTGTTGTTCCTTCCTTTTTCCTACAACTAAGAAGGAAACATGAAAAAATGACCAATGCAGGAAAATGACAGGAAATACTGTAGATGTAAGACGTGAAAATATTCAAGCAGTTTATAAAAATTAGGCAGATTTCAAATTTTGTCAATTTATATACACTTCCATTCACTTGATTTAAGATGGCATTATTTATCCTCTAGTGAAAATAGTGTACTTTTTCTTTAACTGTGTTCTACACCAGTCATAACCTGAGTGCCACTGAGAAGTGTATGCCACCAAAACCAGGAACGGAAGCCACAGATTCAGATTTACCTTTGTTTTGCGTATCAGGCTGGACACAACACTCTGTGATCCACCCTGAGCAATGTATTTGTAGTATGAAACAACAGTTTTGCTGAAGCCACTCTATATACAGACAGGGATGACTAAAGCAGTGTAGAAGCAAGGAACTGGTACTTGGGAAGTTTGAAAGTCAGGAGATGGAAAAGCTCTGCTGTCTGGAAGTGCCCACAAGCCCTATAGTTAAACCATCATTGTTTCCATTACAAATTTTTTTCAACGGTTTACAGTTCCTTTGTAATAACTTAACTTCTTGTGGAAACTTGGCAGAAACAGTACAACCGTACAGTTATCTTTTTTTAGACAGGCTTAAAAAACAGTTAATATTAGTTTCTCATCATCACAGGATTTTCTTTTGTTTGTGACTAAGGTCGGAAGAAACTATTAATCTACACCAGGAGATTAAAATGAAAACTGCAACTGTTATAAGAAAAACAGTAACGAAGAATAATGACCTAGCTACCAAAGAGCCATGAATACATGCTACAGTCATCTACTTGATCTATTATTCCTTTAGGCATCTGTTATTCTTCCCTTACACATCCTACTAGATGGATCTTGGATCTCATTGCACCTGCTGTGTTCTTAAAACAGGAAGAACACAATGCCCCACATTGGATTTGACATAGTATCTGGCACTTTAGCATGCAGTGACATAAAACAGAGAGGAATGCTCCTTTCAAAGAGGAAACCTGTTCCAAAGGTGTGATTACATGTGATATACTCCACCTCATTCCAAAGTCCAGACTTGTTCAACAAGCAGCATGCAAATCAAAGGAAGAAAAACGAAAGCTATGTCAAGACAAATTCAAACAAAAAAGTAAAAGGTAGACAGAGTATTGCTGAGCAACTGCAAAGACAGGGCTGACTGAGGAAGGCAGGTGATAGGACTAAAAGAAATTACTGTATCCTGATACATTGGTCTTTCAGCCAGCTCATACATTTAAAAGAAGTCAGAGTCAGATTTTCTTTCAGGCAAAGAAGAAAATGTATGATTTTGTTTGTATGTTTGTTTCTGATCAAATGAGACGGCCAAGTCTAACAACAGAGATAATTTAGACAGAAGTGAAAAGGGAGTGTTAGAACTTCCTCCAAAGAAATCAGAGCAGGTCTAGAAAGTTTTCATGGGTTTAAGAAACTTAAAGACAAACAGGTAAAAGAACAACACAAAATCTGACAAGATAACCAATTAAAAGCACAAAACCAGATGTAGGAAAAAAGTAGCACAACATGAGGATGACAGCACATTATAAATGTGAAGTAGTAAACTAAAAAGGCAAGCTACAAAATGGGTTCCATCTTACAGGCATAAAGAAATCCTACACATACTAGCAGTAAGAGACAAGAGAGACAACCATGATGTAACAGGAAAGAAAGCAGTGAGTGATATGGATAGTCAGTATGTATTCAGTGTTTTCACCTGACAATGGCAGATAAGAGAGACAGGTGTTAGCATGGATAACATACAATGCTGACAAGTTATAAGCATCCAGGACAACAGTATCTAGTGAATTTCACCTCACAAAGTTCAAAAACTTGTCAAAGCAATTTTTGAAATATTGATAATTAATTTCATAAACTTGTTCAATGGTATTCCAAAAGCCCAGGAATAAAAGAAGGAGCCTGATGACACAAAGCATTGGAAATAGTCCAAAGCACTTATCCGTCCCTAAAATATTAAGGTGACCCTTTATAATTCCAGGTTCTAAGACTTTGATGACTGAACACAAAAGAGCATTCATTCAACAAAACAACTACTTCAGCAAAATGAATATTTATAGTTCACTTTGTAAGTCATTGTTTCCCCTGTAGCCTAAATACTTAAAGCACCTGAGACTGGGGTCATCAATGCCTTGCTCTTGTCAATGATCTGTCAGTCTGTTTTTGCAGAAGAAAGTGACTTAAATCAGTCTGTAAAAGTGCAGAGTACCACCCAGTTCCTGGATTAGCTTCCTTAGTTTGTGGCATTAAGAAAAAACACCATGTTTGAAAAACCTCCAGCTAATCTATTATCTAAAAGAAAAAATGCTTCTAAGTATATCAGATAGATATTTTTATATGATTATGAGTTTATAGAATTATCTCCAGGCAACTTTCATACTTATTTTTTTCTGACTATGTTGCACTATACCTTTTTTCACAAAACTCAGCTATTTCACAATTAGTTTGTGTGCCAAGAACAGACAGGGTTCATTCCAAAAGAAACTGCTGGACAGTGGGAATGAAAGCATTAGCAAATTCTTCTCTCATGTTCTGTATACATGCCATTTTCAGAAGCAGGAGTTAAAGGTTTATTGCTTTTAGTAAACAGAATAATACCGTTTTTAAAACATTGACCTTTGTAATATTTATCCTCTGTCTTCTTGGTGCTACCTACAGTAAAAATAGTTTAATTTTAAAAAATTTCCATAACTCAACTGCTACAATGAAGAGCCCTAAGTGATAGTAATGTTGACATAAAAAAATGATCCTTCTGCTCTGCCTCAGCAAAACTATTATATGGTCATAGACAAGATTACCAAGATGTTCAAAGAGCAGTAACACAAAGAATTACATTTCACTGCATAAAGCATGAAGGGGTTGGAATTTCATGGGTTCATTTCAACGAAACCCAGAAATTAGCAATGCTGAAGAACTTTCTTACAGATACGGAAATATGGAGGGATTCCTTGGTTTAGAAATGAGGAGATCTATATTTCCAAGCCCCCTGGAGCTTGTTTGCCTCTTCTTTTCCTAACCACATTTGCAGGCTCTGTTCAATACTCTCATATCAAATATCAAGTCTACAAAGCTGAGATAATACCATTTATAAATTATAAAAAGTTCATTAAATAAATATAAACGCTCTGGAGTCTGTATACATAAGGTATAATATGCAGTAAATATGAACACAAGCCCTTTGCCATGCTTTCTAGTGAGTCCTACACACAAAAGATTAAAGGAAAGAGAAATCAGATGCAACTGCTTTCAAATTGAAATTCTTCTATGAGTTTTTGCAATGTTGTATTTGTCAAAGTCCCTTTCAGAAAATGAGTTCTTGCACTTTAAAAGAAATATGCTATTCATATTTTTTTACTGAAGATTTCTCTCATTCACTTAAGATCCATACAAACATAAAAGAGAATGACTTAATGGAATTGATGGAGCAGATTAGCCTTAACAAAGAATAAACAAAGGCATGAAATCTGAAAAATGAAAGGTGTAGCCTCTAAATTGAAAAGGCATAACATTAAGAAGTATAAAATTTTCAAAGAAGTATGGGTTCAAAGGAATACCAGCCACATAAAAAAATCAAATGCAAAAAGACCAAGCTCCTCCTTATTTTAGCAAGAACTAGGGCAAGCATATCTCCTCAGTCTTTCAGACTGCCACATGACCCAAGTTCATCTAATAAAATTCCATCTATAAGGAAACATTATTAAAAAAGTAATAAAGGAAGGTAAAGCAAAAAAACCATTATCACAACAGCCAAATGGGCAGGATGAATCTTTGGATAAAGGACCAGACTCTGCCCCAAACTGACACAAACCAGCTATAAGCAAAATAAATATGCATTTGGCAGAGGTCATATAGCAGAAACAGAAGTCTGTTTCTTGATGTGGAAGCTACAAATAATGAAGCACCCTAGTACTAACAGAAACACCTGTTTGGAAAGATATGAAGAGAGAGATAAAACTCAGTGAATACTACAGGGACAATCTAAGCTAGTATTGGTATGAAATTTAAAGGAGGAGTTGAAAATCATACATATTTGAAAAAGAAGTTGCTAAAGTTTTCTTAAAAATATAGCCCAATCATCTTTACCTGAATGTGCAAAACCCTATTAATCAGATTTTATTCATGCTATCTTGACAACTAAGGTCAGATTAAAAAAAAAATCCATGTTTCAGTATTAGTTTAATCAAAAGCCTTTGCTCAGCAATGATCACACCTGCACAGTTCACTATGACACCACTGAGAGGAAACTGAAACCTTTCAACACCTATAGACCATAAGGCATTATATGATAGAGACAACCAAACAACTACACTTCCCTGCCAGACAGAGAGACCTCCCCACCAGCTGCTGTGAATGTCAATCTTTCTGCTACAGCTTTGAGAGACAACAGCAGGTAAGTCTTATAAACAAAAAGGTCTGTTTGTCTGAAAAAGCATTTAAAATGTCCAATTTCCACCTCCAGTTATCTGTGTATGCCGAGTTCCTACACACAGCAATCATATTTTAGCTAGTGACCCCTACAAAGCACATTATTTGCATTAAGCAACAAGTAACCAAAACTTTTAGACCTAATATTCAGATAACTCAGCTGCCTCGTTTTTATCACCTAGGTAAAAGCCCGTGGGCATCACAAGACATAATTCCTATTCACTTGATTTTTATAAGTCTTGCCTTCCTTCACAAGAGCTGCAGAGCACTCTAAGGACAGCATGTTAATATTAATGAAGCACTGCTGACGCTGTCAGGCAGAGATCAATGCACCGCGATTGATTTCAGCATTCTACTCACCCTCAATATTTGGAATTTCAACAGCTCGTTACACAAAATGAAAACACGCACCCAACAAGTTATTTATTTACGATCACTATAGAAGATCCTAAGCACGGCAGCAGTATCACTAAAGGTGCACAAAGCAAGCAGCTTAAGTTTTACAGAAAAGAGAAATAAAACCACCATACCCCTTAGGGCTCGTCTTTTCTCTTATACGCCAACTCTCTATTTTAAAGCCTCCTTAAAAGACTTCCCTCAAACTCATCCGTACTATCGCCACATCATCTTTTATTTACATTATTTCCCGTGACCTGTCACCTTCTCATCCCTGCAGTTCTCCTGCACGAACAAAAGCTTCGGTCCAGCACTCCGAGGCGCTTCCACGGTCCTGCTCGGCACCTGCCCTGCCCGGGACAGGCCCGAGAAAGGGGACGGCCCTGCCCTGGGAGAGCAGGGCCACCCCGAGCGGCCTGTACGTGGTTTCAGGCAAATTTCCCCTCCCGCACCGTCCCTCGGCCGGGATCGGCCGCGCCAAGAGGGGCTGCCCAGGGGGAAGGGGCTGCCTAGGAGGAAAGGGAGAACCACGGGCCGCCGCCGCCGCCGCCCCCACCCCCGCCTCGCCTCACCCGCCGCCGCGGCCACCGCGCTGCCTCACCCGCTCCTCGCGCGGCCGCTCGCGACCCTTCCCCGGCAGCCAATCCGTGGCCCGCTCGGCGCCGCCCCGGCCAATCGTAGGCCCGGCGGCGGGCGCGGGAGGCGGGACGTGGCGCGCGCTGTGGGCGTGAGGCACTACCCGGCAGGCGCCGAGCCGGCAGCGGGCGGGGGAGCCGCCCCGCCCCGCCGGTCACGTGAGCGTTGCCCGCCAATAGGCGCGGGCCGCCGGGCGTGCAGCCGGGCCGCGGAGTTTCCGTCCCGCTGCCACAGCTATCTGGGGGTTGGTATCATCTACCTGGCAACAAGTGAACGGGGTACACGACACAGCTTAAAAGCTGGGGAGGTTCAGATTGCACATCAGGAAAGATTTGTTCACAAAACGGGGACGTTGCAATGGGCTGCCCTGGGAGATGGTGGAGTCACCATCTCCAGAGGTGTATGAGAAAGGCTGGATGTGGCACTCAGTGCCCTGCTCTAGATCACAAGGTGGTGTTTGGTGACAGGTTGGACTCGACGCCCTCAGAGGTCTTTTCCAGCCTCGCTGATTCCGTGATTCTGATCGGGTGGGGAACGGCAGCGGGCCTCCCCTGTCACCGCCGGGCCAGTGCCGCTGTGCCAGCCTGCGGCCGCGCTCCTCTGGAGGCTGCAGTGGCTGTTGGCGCTGCCCGGCCGCTGTGGCCGGCCTGCGGCTCCCGGAGGTGCGGCTGTCGGCTGTGGCACCGCCGGTGGCTCCTGGGCTGGCGTCGGCTGTGTCCCATTAAAACCTTGTGGAAAGAAGGGCCAGGACCGCTGTGGGAACCAGGCGGGAAGTCGGGATCGCTGTGGGGCAGAGGGGGCTGCGGGGTACAGGGGAAGTCAGGGAGAGTTTCTTCGTGCTGAATTAGTTTAAGAATTGCTTACCGGGTGTCTTCAGCTTTAGAAACTACTGAAAACTTTACTCAAGCGTTTTAAAATAAGGTGCGAAGGACGTGGAGGAAAGAAAACCTTTGCGACTTTAAAGAGTTTGGGACCCAAACCATCGTAAAGGATCTAGATGTTGAACCCGGTGCTGGTAGAGGCTTTTTTTTTTCAGCCTTAACGATGCTTTGATTCTACATTAAACCAGATTTAATTTCGGTGTTTCATGGGGTTCATATTCCTACGTCGGGTTTCGAACCAGATGGGCACACTCTGCCCATAGAGCATCAAGTGTGGTTCACACTAGATTGTTTTACAGTACACGCTACACTGTATTTCAGCAGTAAAGTCAACTTCTGTCGGTAACCGTCTTTGAAGAAAACAAAAAGTAATTTCAAAACAAGTGGAGCAGAGGAGCATGTTTCTGCACTACAGCCCTCGGACTACACCTCCCGGCCTGCACCGCGCTCTCCCAGGAACAAAGAACTCCAGGATTGGCGGAGAGTCACGCTCTGCACGCACCAATCGCGCTGCGCGGTATTGCGCAGTGCCGGGTCAGAGCGGGCTACGGTGGGTGGTGCGGCCGTTCTCGTCCCGGTGCTCGTCCCGCGGTTCTTCCCCAGCCTCTTCCCGTGCTCCTCCCGTCGCTCTCCGCAGGCTGCGCCGCCCCGCGGGACATGGGGGCGCGGGGCTGAGCTGCTAGTCCGCCCAGGGACGGCTTCTGCGACGGTACGGCCCTGCCGGGGAAGGGAATAGGCCGCGCCGGGAAGGGCCGTGAGGGGGCGGCGTGTGCGGCCGAGATCCCCCCTGCTTTCCGAATACATCCCGGAGCTCCTGTTGCCCGGTGGCTGCGGGGCTGAGTCTCCGCCGGCCGCGGGGCCTGGGAGCTGAGACCCCGGGGCCTAGTCCCCGCCGGCCTGAGGCCTCAGCCGCCTAGGGAGGGCTGGCAGCGGGGCTGTGGAGGTTCCTCTCCAGGGCCGCTTGGGCGAGAGCACAGAGCGGAGGGGGAAAACGGCAGAGAGATAGGGCTGCGGTGCCTGGGTCAGGCTTTGATCTCAAAGCTAGGAAGAGGAAACAGGAGCAGGCACCTGGCTCGCTGCTCTGCCAGACTCCTGAATTCTGGATATCTTATTATAACTTTTAAGACCACCTGATGTTTTTAATTAAAAAATTCCGTGAAGAGGGTGGGGGGCGGCAGTTTTGATGGAATTGATTGTTGCAAGTTATGGAGAAGGGTGAGAATTTCAGAGTTGTCTCCGGAGTTGAGGCTTAGGAGAGATGGAGAAGGGTCTGGGTTTGGGTTTGATTAGACCTTGAAGAGCATCTAATTCTAACCCCCCCTACTCTAAGCAGGGACACCTTCCACTAGACCAAGTGGCTCAGAGCTTCATCTAGGCTGGCCTTGAACACTTCTAGGGATGGGGCACCCACAGCTTGTCTGGGCAAGCTGTTCCAATGCATTACCATCTTCACAGCAATTTCTCCTAGTATCTAATCCAAGCCTACCCTCTTTTCAGGTTAAAGACATTGTCCTAAAGACCCCTTTTCCTGTCATTATGCCTTTGTAAAATGTCCCTCTCCATCTTTCCTGAAGCTCCCTTCAGATGAGTAGCCTAGTGGAATAGGAGGGAGTGTTTTTGGTTTTTTTTTCAGAGGGTTAGAAGGAAAAAGGCAAAAGCTGATCAGGATGGAAAGAGTTATAGGAATGATCTGGTGATTGGGACCTGGAGGTCAGAGACTTTGATTAGCATCAGCTCCACACTTGACTTTTAAGTCTTGAATAAAATGTACTAGGGAAAATAGTTAATAATGCTCAACAGAGTTGCTTTGGCTTTGTTTGTTTGATGGTTTTGTTTTGTTCGTTTATTTTTAATTTAGAATTTTTCCCTTTGGAAACACAAACTTGTATTGGTTGAGGTGCTGTATCTCCCAGTTGATATATTTTTGATTTCTGATAATCAAGAGAAGTAGTCTGGAGACTAATCATTTGCCTGTACTTTTCACTCTAGCTGTCACTTTCCTGAAGTAAAAAGCATTGACTTAGAGGTTAATAGCATTTTTTTCTATGTGAAAATGTCATAATTATCAGAAATTATCGTAATCCAAATGCATATTTATGGTTCATTGTTTTTGATGAGTGTGATAAATTTATGTTCCCCAGAGGCCAACCTTCAGTGAGGAAAAACTACGTAACATTGGCAAATAATGTTAAAAGAATGTGATTACCTAAAAATTGTATTTGCTCTTTATTTGAGTTATTTAACAAATTAACAATATGTACTCACTCCCACTTTTGTGCCTTAAGTTACTTGGCTGAGTTGGTACTGGCAACAAGCGGGACTACAGTTAGCATTTAGTAGTTTCAGAGGCACAAAGAAGCTGTGTTTTTTACACAAGAGTTTAGCATTTTCTCTGGGAAAACCTATGCTTTTGTTGCCTGTTGTTATTATAAACAGCTCTGCAATCTGATACTTTCAAGCTAACATGTGTCTCCTTTGAAATTGATCTGGTGGCTTGGACTTCGACTGGAGCAAGGCGCAACCTGCTTGCTCTCTTTTTATCAAGGGATACTCATGAAAAGGAGAAAAAACAACTCAAACCCAGCCTGTAAAACCATTTCTGCCTTTGATTGTATGGCATTGTACTAGTTATTTGATGTATAGATGAAGAATTAGGCTTAATATTTGCTGGTTTTGATACACTGTTAATATTTTGTATACTTTTGTGGTTTGTTTTTCTGTAAAATTTTTTGATTGCCAAAGCTACTCTGAAAACACTTTTTGTGCCTTTACGCAGAAGGATGTTTATAGACTTCTAGGGTGCCCTTTTGAGAAACCCAGATTTATTGAAAGGATATGTCAGTAGTGTAAGGAAAAAAAACCAACATGAAATACTCCCATAAAGATTGACTGGTCTGAAATGACACGTAGGAAACAAATAAAAACCTTATTAACCAAATATATCTGTTCTCTGCATAGGAAATTAATATTTCCAGTTTATAAGTTTCAGGACCCACATCCTTATCAATTTAATCCATCTTCTGTGGATTCTAGTCCGTGGGTTTTTATACCTTTTTGTTTAGAACAAATCATTGCCTTTGTGCTTTTGTTTGTCCATATTTTAATTGATGATAAATGCTATGATAGTAATAATACTTTTTTTTTTCAGCAGGTATTTTGTATGAATGGTGCAGAAAAGATGAATTCTGCTATGAGTGAGGAGCCTGATGCACTATCTGTAGTTAACCAACTCCGAGATCTAGCAGCTGATCCATTGAATAGACGGGCCATTGTTCAGGATCAAGGATGCCTGCCAGGTCTTATTCTGTTTTTGGACCATCCCAATCCTCAGGTTGTTCATTCAGCTTTACTAGTAAGTATTCTGGAGATAAATTTCTGTGTTGGTAGTTCAGTTTTAAACTTCGTTAAACAAGTTGTTTAAACAAGCAGTTTACAAACAAAGCTGTTTAAACAATTTGTTTAAACAAGTGAAAATGTGGAAAATAATGCCTGGTTATATTGATATGCATTACATGTGTTTTTATAAAAACCATGCATTTCAGAAATGACACATTGTTCCTGGGGATTTTTTTAAAAGCTATTAATTTACTTTGCATTTTTTTCTTAATACAGCTATTTGACTTTTTGTGTGGAGGGAGGTAAGGACCCTTAAATCTCTTTCTTAAGATAAAGTCAGAGCTCGGTAAATATGGACAGTGATTTGATACTCACATTATAAAAATCAAAATCCAATCATAGGGTATCTTAGGTTAGAAACAGCCTCCCGAGGTGAAGTAGTCCAATCCTGTGCCCAAATTAGGTGTGCTCAGATCACATCTCATGGTTATATCTGTTTGATCTTGAGCACTTTGAAGGCTTTCCATGACCTCTCTGGCACACTGTTCCAGCATTTGACTAGCCTTATGGTATTAAAAATAAACAAAACCCTCTCAAAAATGAAAGAACCAACCAACCCCGAATCTGTCAACATCTAATCAATAATATCAATCCAGTCAATATCTA